AATATAAATGTTATTTCAACTGACATTCTGCTTCTACTTTTCCTCCAGAAAATAACCATCCATATGTTTCATTTAAAAGATGTGTTGTTGTTCTTAAATATTTTGTATCCAAACACTCAGATAAAAACAAAAACCTAGGTAGACGGATCCCAACAAACCTACTAAGAGTATTCTTGATCTCTTCTTAAGACCTGGATTCAGTCATGTGATCACCAGCCAGAATTTCCTTCTTGAGCAGTTCACATTTGGAATGAAAAGAAGCAACCAGCAAAGTTTATTTTTTGGGATTAAAAAGGTAAAGTTTTCATCCATTTATCTATTCCCATGCTTTAAAATTTAGTTTTAAATATTTAAAATAAGTTACATAAAAAAGTAAACTGCCATCTACATTTTTTGTTAGAATAAATTGTCAATTCATTTTAAAAAATTATCTAGGTACCTCCAAAGATTCATTAAAAATGAGTATACATGATGAAAAAATGCTGAAAACTTAATTAAAACAGTTTTATCATCAAAATCTTTGTGTGATTATTAAAAGGAAAGACTTTTAATCCTTTTTAGAATCTTCAAAATCTTTGGAAAAAATCTTGTTTTTCTGGAGTCAATATGATACCCTAAATTAGTAAGAGTAAAGTGAGTGTCTATTTTGTGGTGAAAAATTGCATTTTTTGGAAATTCTTGCAAATTCTTTTGGAAATTCTTTTTAGAAATTTTTGATAATTTCTTTTTACATCTGTTACTCCCCGACTTATATAATTTTATGAAATTTAGAGAAATTTTTTTTTTTGTAGTGCTTAATGTTTGTATTAGTTATAAGTACAAGTACTTGAAGATCATCAAATTATTTTGGTCAAACAAGATACCCAGTTATAGAAAATCTGTTCTGAATCATAAAATAAAAAATGCAATAAAACTAAGACATCATTTAATTAGAAAAACTTTATTAGTTTTATGATTTATGGACACTTATTTCCTATTTTTATGTGCCATGTCCTTTCAGGACATAGGCAATCATGGCTGTCGACGTCTTCCTATCCCTTGTGGCTCTCAATAGGTTTCATCCTTCTGCCACCTCCCCCAGACCATGTTTTGCGATCCACTTGCTCAAGCCCACCAGGTATGTCATGCATTGCTTTCCCTTGTCTCTCTTTCCCTCTATTCGAACTGAGTATCGGTTTCTCCAGGCCCTCCTTTCTCATTACATGTCCCAGAAACTTCAGCTGCCTCTTCCTGATGTTAAGTATAAGACTCCTCCTTGTTTGCATCCTCTCCAAGACCTCATTGTTGCTCACACACTCAGTCCATGATGTCCTTAGCATCCTTCTGCAGAACCACATCTCTGTTGCCTCAAGTCTCTTCTTCATCTTTGAGGAGACCATCCAACATTCACTGCTGCAAAGATGGATAGATTTCACGTAACAGCTTAATATTCTTTTCTTTGTTACCAAAGAAATCCTTGTGTCGCAGTACTCTGCCCATCTTTTGGAATGCATCCTTGGCCATCCCAATACATCTACGGATCTCAGTGTCACACTTACCATCCTGTGTCAAAATACTTTCCAGATATTTAAACTTCCACACCTGCTTGATTTTAGTGTTTCTGACCAGTAAATCACATTTTGGGCTCATCTTTTTGCTGATGACCATGCATTATGTCTACTTATAGTTAATGCTTAGTCCCTTCTTCTTGCTCTCCTTCACTACCCTCTGTAGGAGATTTTGTAATAAAAAAAATTTTCAATGAATAATGAATTTTTACAAGAATTGTTTTCATTTTTTTAAATTTTATTTATAATAATTTATAAACTTTTAAAAACTTTTAAAATTCTGTATTAATCTGAAGTTGTCAAGTGGTATTGTTATTAAATAAAAGAGCTGTATTTACTAGTAATAAATAGAAAAGCTTGCTCGAATATTTTTAAAAGAATTTTGATTTAATTATTTTTTGCATGTGCATAAATGTTCCAATTTTTATAAATACAGTCCTTCATATATATTATCAGAAAATAAGAGCAGTAACTATAATAAATTAAAAATTTATTGGTAATTTTCTAACATTTCCTCAACAATTATCTTCATAAGTAAGTCTATAAAGCCAAAGTAACTAAACTTAAATAAAATATTAGAATGCTTAAAATATTTTAAATTTTTAAGATTACTAGGTAAAAAATAATTTCATTCATTTGCAAAAGTATATTTTATTTTTGAAAAGTTTTTTAATAAAGAGAATTATGTTGATATGATGTGGATGATTTTATCAATTTATTGATAATCAAAGAAACAAAACCTTTGATCAATTAAAATTCGTTTTTAAATGCATCAAAATATTTTGCTCATTGGAAATATTAAATTTAATCTATTAGCTTGGAATTAAAACTAAAATAAAAGCTTCAAGTATTTTTTTTTTTTAAGAATGTATTTTAAATCTTAGGTACTAATTTTTTGTTTAGTTTTTTAGGTACCAACTATAAAGTATAACCCAGTAACATATTTTCACATTTTCATTCACCTGTGGAATGAAGATGGAAATGTAGCGGACCGTGGCGGTGATGAGTATACAAAACACACGTGAGTTAAAATTTTCTGCTAGCTGGTCTAACTACATGAGAAAGTTGGACTTTAATTAAGTCCAAAGAAAACAAACAAGACCGATAAATATATGCAAACAAATATATGTATTAACAAGAAGTACAAGTTACAAGCACATGGACAGTTACATTGAGTGTGTGTGGTGAATATTATGTGTGTGTGTTGTGATGAGTGTTTGTATGTACGTGTATTGTTCTTAGCATGTTCCCAGAATTTGGGAAACGCTGTATCTGTGAGAGCTCACATCTGTGAGGTGGTATAAGGCTGAAGGCCTGAGGAAAAAAGAGATCAAGGCGAAGGGTCAGCCAGTATTTATAGCCAGGGGAGAGAGACCCCTGGTGAAGGATTAAGGAACTGAAGAGGAGCTAACTCCGACAGAAACACCAAGACAGTCAAACACTAAATGACAAAGAAATGCTTTCTGAGTCTGAGGATTGTGCATTGTTCTGGATAAAAAAGTTAATTCTTCGAAAATAAATATTTAACATATTTCAACCAATGGGTTACATTTCTGCCAACAATAAAAAAAAAAACATGCTTTGTGATCTCTTTGAAAGCTATTTAAGCAAATTTTCAAGACAGACAAACGAAGAGAGACAACCAACAATGGATGGAGAACAGGTCACAACACTGTTTAATGAAATTCCTTTACACATTCACCTGTTTTCACCTGTTTCACAACACTGTTTAATGAAATTCCTTTACACATTCACCTGTTTAAATGAAATTCCTTTACACATTCACCTGTTTTCCTCACAAAGCTATGGAACACTTAAACTTTCCTCCTCACTTTTTCCATCACCTCTTCTTTCTCACACATACACAGAAAGGGATCACTTTTGTTTCTTATTTCTTTTCATCTAGAAAAAGAACTACAAAGAAAGGATTGTATCCTGACAAATATAAGAACTTTAACACTCCCACATGCTAAGAAAAATGTAGTATAATAAAATTTAGTATAATAAAAATATCTTATATTTTTATATTTAAACACCTTTTTTGCCTCTTTCTTTATTTTGGGCTGATTCAAATCTGCAACAGACCGACAACGAATTGATACAGTGATTGATCATTGGAAAGCTGATTTGATTCAGTTGCATAATAGATCAGAAGGGCTATTTCTAACATTAAAATTAGTTTATATTGCATATTGACCTGCGTCATGGACTGCATGCCCTGGTTTCTAAGTCACCCTTCACCACTGATATATATTATATAGCTGGCCAGTTGTATTCAAGGATACCCATCTACCAGGGTGGCTAGCCAGTCCCTATTGCAGATGCTTGCTCAAGCACATTTGCATTTACTCAAAACCCACATAGCCCACCTGTGGTTTATACTGCAACTATGCTGAGCAGACCTTGTTACAGTTTCTGGGAAACAGCATGTAATCTAGCGTGATCAACCATTTGAACAAGGCCAGCACACTCAAGCCCTCAGCCACGATGACATGCAGCTTTGTGCTAGCACAGTTAGCAACAGCCCTCAAGAGTTCCATCTACTCAGTTTCACTCACAAGACCTTATTCAACCCGTGATATGATTTTTCAGGCACTTTCCAAAGGTGCTGCACACTGAGATTGACCTTAATCCATTCTGATAACATCAGGAAGTCTCCTTCCTGACAAACTGACTATGCTGACATTTGAACCTGGGTCTCATGATCAGGAAGTGAACATTCTAACCACTCGGCCATGAGCCCATTCATCATGTAAATTTATTATAACTATCTGCTCCTTATTTCATTTTTCAAAACATATATATATATATATATATATATATATATATATATATATATATATATATATATATATATATATATATATATATATATAATACAAATATAAAATTTGTCACTTAACTGTTTGATGTTATATTCAGAACCTCTACTCTTTCATAGACGAAACTCTGTAACTGTTTTGAGTCCATTTGTTAGGTGCTGTCAGCAATTTTCTCATATAATTTTCAAGCAGGCCAATTATTATTAGCACATCTCAAACATTCATGTTCCACAGTTTGCTCTTTCAAAAATTATTTGTTTTCTTATTCTCTTTATCTAGTGATTCACAAGAATAGTACAACTTTCAGATTCAATATTCTTGTTTGGATTGGGTGACTGTTTTGGATCTCTATGTATCCTAATTTTCATTTTCTGGTATCACTTTTAATTTGTGATGATACATGATGATCTTTGTGATGATATCATTTCTCCTTCCTTTTTTTTGTTGTTGTTTGTATGGTTATTTTTATTATTACTATTCATTTCTTTGTTATTATTAATAACTATTATTACTATTTTTTTATCCATTATTTTTAAATTCTGAAGAAGCATTGGATGAATCTGGTTATTGTAATCAACTACAGATTTACAGTTATCTCCCCTGATTCAATAACGTTCGCCAACTGGTCAAGATGACGTTAGGATTTACTGAAACGTTTCCACCTTTTGATTTATCGTAAGTTTTATTTTGTTTTTAAATCGATTTTTTTTTCAACGATTTATGATGTTTTAGAATCTTATCTCTTAAATTTTTATATAATACAGTCTTGTATTGTTTCCTAAATGACACAATTTTAGTCTTTCATTTCTTACAGTTGAATTATTAGTACTTAATGCCTTGGAGGTCAGTTCAGTTTTTCTTTTTTAAGCATAAATCACCATTTTTGTTCTTTTCCGTTTAACTAAAAATAAACAAAGTACAAAAAACTTTTATTATTTAAAAGGAAGGCTTATTTTTACGAATTCGGCTATTTATTTTAAATGGTTGTTAGCTAAAAATTGCTTTGCTATTTTTAGTTTCATTTACCGTAGAGAAGGAAGACTAAACAACTTCTTGGAACAAAATCGCGTGATTGTGTTTTTTTTTGTTGCTAGAAGATTTTATTTAGAAATTTTAAAACTTAAAATTTGGTTCACTCCCCAAAATAACTGACAAAATACTTGAGTTTTCAGTTTGGTAGCACAAAATGAAAAACATTTTTTTTTATTTATTAAAAAGTAAACTAACGACTTGGTTTGCTTTCAAAACAAAACAAAAGAAATTGAATTAACAGATAAATTAAAGTTTTGATCTATGATGGTTGTTGTTAATATTTATTTTAATAAGGAAGATTGAGATCTTTTCTTTAAAAAAAAGGGACTATAAATTTTGTTTGATTTAAAATACAAAATCAAATCGTAACCTAAAGCAAGTTTTCCATAATTTTAACGTGGGGGGGGGCTTTATTGAGTTATCTCCCTTACTTAAACTGCACGTTAATTTTAATTGGAATATTTAATTTAAAAATTATTTAATAAATTACAAATTATTTCTTCATTCTACGAAATTTAAACCTATATACGCTCGAATTTAAAACTTCACCGGCGAAACGTATAATATCCTTGTTGAAATATCTCAAGATTTCGTACATTAGTGTGTAGTTGTTTCCTTTCACTTGAATTAATTTTTAAAATTATCTTCACGTACATTTCTAAAATTCATTTTTTTAAAACGCCTCGGCCACTGCACTCTCTGGCCTTCTGTCTGTTTTCTTTGAGAATGTCTAATATTAAAAGCACAAATCTGGCCTGCAACACTTGTTGGGGATTTGAAAAGCGCGTGCGAATCGAATGCAATGCGGATACTAGTTAAAAGTGTTAGTTAGTGTTATCATTTTTTTCTTTTCTTTTTTTTGTGAGATTGTTGTAAATGCCCAAGCAAACCACTTCAAAAAAGTAATTAAATTATTCAAATATTGAATAAGCACCGTGAACAATTGTTGAGATGACCGAAAATTCATTGGGACAAATTCTCGGTCTGTTGCTGTTTTTTGTTAAAGCAGGCACCTCAGCCTAAAATCAAGTATTTGGGGTCGGAGCACTTCATTGTGTGTAGTGTCTGCAAGCCGAAATTATATTTCAGAAATTTTTGTACCAATTACATGCGCTAACTAAATTTACGGCAAGGCACTAAAAAAAAAAAAAATTACTCCTGTCCTGTAAAAGTGCCATTTTGCAGAGATTTAAAAAAAATAAATACGACACAACTTAGACACCAATAAGCATCCAATTCCCTGAACCAAGTAAAATGTTAGTAAATAAACACTGTTCACAACTTAGCGTTGGTCACATGGGATGTTTTGTTACCCCAAAATGTTTAAAGTACGGGGTTTACCCCACTTGTCTTTACCAAAAACGCTTATTAGGTTGCACTTTCTAAGTCTGCTCTTACTCTTTGTTTAAATCAGTATCACCCCAAGTGAGGCAGTACAGCCACTAGCATGCAAGTGTATGGAGAAATTAGGAACAGAAACATTAGTAATGAGGAGAGAGAAAAGAGCAGTCAAGAGGACAGTAAATAATGATTGATATTGGATTTAAATTTTTACAGATTAAAATTGGTTGAAGAGCGTGAAGCCGGGAAGGAGTTCAACAAGCAAGAAGTGTGGGATAAGAAAATGTTCGTATAGAAGTTAGGGATACATATACATACAGCTAGCTCAACTGTAAATTGATGAGATGTCACCATCAGTCTATTGTGCTTACAATCTAGGTACTATAGCGTAGAGAACATCTGAACAATTACCATGAAAGTATTTATAATAGGGTCAGAGAGGAAACCTTACAGTGGTAGGCAAGTGACTGAAGCCAAGCCGTGAGATCAGGACCAATAATATTGCTGATTCTTCTTTGGATCTTATTGAGAAGCTCTAGGAAAATAGCAGGGGCACCGGACCATGAATGAACAAAAGGACAGAAGGAAGGCTAACAGCTGGGAGAGTGGATTTGTGACTATTTACTAGGCATATGGCTCTGAATTTGTGACAATTGCTTTATATTTTTTACAGTAAACACACCCGATCATGAATATCGTTTTTTTTTATATAATAATTAATGATGTGGGGGTGCATTTGTTATGTAAATTTCCCCCATCTATGCAAGCCATAATGAATGTTTTCAAATAGCGTTATTTCTCAAAATGTTAAAAAAAAAAGAAAAGAAATCCATAATCTAGAGTTCATTTTTATATATTACTATCAATTAAGTAGACCAGATCATGCATTTAAAAAAAAAAAAAAAGGAAAAGAAATCCATAATCTAGAGTTCATTTTTATATATTACTATCAATTAAGTATACCAGATCATGCATTTAAAAAAAAAAAAAAGGAAAAGAAATCCATAATCTAGAGTTCATTTTTATATAGTACTATCAATTAAGTATACCAGATCATGCAGAAAAAAAAAAAAAAGGAAAAGAAATCCATAATCTAGAGTTCATTTTTATATATTACTATCAATTAAGTAGACCAGATCATGCATTTAAAAAAAAAAGGAAAAGAAATCCATAATCTAGAGTTCATTTTTATATATTACTATCAATTAAGTAGACCAGATCATGCATTTAAAAAAAAAAAAAAAGGAAAAGAAATCCATAATCTAGAGTTCATTTTTTATATATTACTATCAATTAAGTAGACCAGATCATGCATTTAAAAAAAAAAAAAAAAAAAATCCATAATCTAGAGTTCATTTTATATATTACTATCAATTAAGTAGAACAGATCATGCATTTAAAAAAAAAAAAAAAAAAAGAAATCCATAATCTAGAGTTCATTTTTTATATATTACTATCAATTAAGTATACCAGCTCATGCATTTAAAAAAAAAAAAAAAAAAAAAAATCCATAATCTAGAGTTCATTTTTATATATTACTATCAATTAAGTAGACCAGATCATGCATTTAAAAAAAAAAAAGGAAAAGAAATCCATAATCTAGAGTTCATTTTTATATATTACTATCAATTAAGTAGACCAGATCATGCATTTAAAAAAAAAAAAAAAGGAAAAGAAATCCATAATCTAGAGTTCATTTTTATATATTACTATCAATTAAGTAGACCAGATCATGCATTAAAAAAAAAAAAGGAAAAGAAATCCATAATCTAGAGTTCATTTTTATATATTACTATCAATTAAGTAGACCAGATCATGCATTAAAAAAAAAAAGGAAAAGAAATCCATAATCTAGAGTTCATTTTTATATATTACTATCAATTAAGTATACCAGATCATGCATTAAAAAAAAAAGGAAAAGAAATCCATAATCTAGAGTTCATTTTTATATATTACTATCAATTAAGTATACCAGATCATGAATTTAAAAAAAAAAAAAAAAAAAAGGAAAAAAATCCATAATATAGAGTTCATTTTATATATTACTATCAATGAAGTAGACCAGATCATGCATTAAAAAAAAAAAAAAAAAAGGAAAAAGAAATCCATAATCTAGAGTTCATTTTTATATATTACTATCAATTAAGTAGACCAGATCATGCATTTAAAAAAAAAAAAAAAAGGAAAAGAAATCCATAATCTAGAGTTCATTTTTATATATTACTATCAATTAAGTATACCAGATCATGCATTTAAAAAAAAAAAAAGGAAAAGAAATCCATAATCTAGAGTTCATTTTTATATATTACTATCAATTAAGTATACCAGATCATGCATTAAAAAAAAAAAAGGAAAAGAAATCCATAATCTAGAGTTCATTTTTATATATTACTATCAATTAAGTAGACCAGATCATGCATTTTAAAAAAAAAAAAAAGGAAAAGAAATCCATAATCTAGAGTTCATTTTTATATATTACTATCAATTAAGTAGACCAGATCATGCATTAAAACAAAACAAAAAAAATAGGCAATGTTTTAACCTTGGTTCCCTCAAAAAACCTGAGTGACACTGTTATTATTTTAACTATCTTCATTCCTTGTCAATGTTCGTTTTAAAGGCAATGATTAGGATTGTCATAAAACCTAAACATATGATGAAAGTGAATTTACAACAAAAATATTAAATGCTATTTTATTATTAGATTGTAATTTTATATTTACAACATTCTAAAAACTAAAACTAATGCAATGCAATATTTATCATTTACTAATTTATAAAGAAATATATATGAAAACAATTTTTTATTCATAAATTTATAAACATTAACTAAATTATAAAAATATGTGTACGAGCTATAGGGAAATCCTTATTATGTATAAAAGTTCAAATGAATTGGTAATTAGCCGATATTTTGCCAACCATTCCCAATAAACAATCTAATAAATAAATAAATAAATAGTGTTTATTATTTTTGTTGTCAATTCTCAAGAAGATATGTGCAGGATGATGCCCAGTACTGCAATATTTGATTATAGTAGGCCAACTAATATTGCTCAGAAGCTGCGATCGCATTATACACTAATTATTTTAGTTAAAAACCTGATTGTTATATTATACATGAAGTAGTCTTACATAAGTATATACAGTAACTAAAAAAAATAAACTCATTGGCTGAAATTAGATATTTCATGACATCAAACAAGTAAGAAAAAAATAATAGCAATGATTTAAACTCTTCTTTTTTTTTTTTTTTCTTAGTATGCTTCACACTGTACAAGGCCCAAGAGCCACTCAAGGTAGAAGGTTATGTTAAGAAGTGGTTTATACGGCTTGCAGAGGAAGATAACAGTTAACTCTAGACTTGAACAGGTTAAGATTGTAGTGATTGGGGAAACATCCGCTTAGGAGTCAGTTCCACAGGAAGAAGCTGTTTGAGTGGAACTTACTTCTCCATGATGGAATACAGAAGGAATGTGTCTGGTTTTCTTACTGTAAGTGGCATGGCAGCTCCTAGCTGTGAAGGTTAAACCTGGCAGAACCAAGGAATGTAGTTTGTCTGAGCACTTTCCATGGAAGTAGCAGTAGAGCAGTGAGAGGTTTGCCACATATGCCTTAGAGAGTGGAAAATAATTTGTCACTCTCAAGGACTCTATTGAGACTAGAAAGCGAGCAGCTCCCACCCAAATATGACAATGGCACTACATTTTAAGCTTGATCAGGCTCTTATAAAGGTAGAGAATTACATGAGGAGACAGGTATTTACATGAGGAGTACAGGGAGCTGACCAATTTACCTGTATCCTTAGCAATGACCTGAGGTCAGGTGGTAGTTTGAAGCCCAATAGTCTCTCAAGGCATGGTGCCTCCTTGAGAGAACATCCATTTATCATGACTCGTAGTAGTTTGGGGTCCAATCAGCAGTAATGGAATGTAAGTAGTTTGGTTTTCAAGGCATTAAATATACTTGAGATTTATTATAAATAAAATACAATTTTGGCACAAGGCCTAAAAGAGGAAATGGGTTGAGGCTGATCGTCACTTACTTTCTTATACTTAGCTAATCCAATTCATGACCCATTCACTCATTACAATTTGCACATCCACCATAAGAATTAATCCATCATCATTCAATCCTCCATATGCCATAATACCACATATACTACAAAAACACACCCTATGATGTAAAGTATTCAGCCAGTTTTTTTCCCCACTTGAAAGTTAGTGCTAGATCTGAAGAGAGGTCAGCTGCCAATTTCATCATCAAGGATTTTAGAGGCACACTTGTATATCATTATATTATCAGCATAGATGTTTACAAATGATTTGAGTATATTCTTAGGTAGCTCATTTATGTAAATCAGAAAGTCGGCAAGAGGATGGCCTTTGTTATCTAACATTGAGTTTGAGGCAATGATCGAGGCAAAGAGCTTCATCTTTACTGTCGAGGATGATATGACCTCGAGGGTCATTTATAATAGTGGGCATAGCTGCTTTGTCTATGTTCATAATTCGGTTGGTGATTTTCCAGAATTTGCAAGATTCAATTTATTTCTTTTCAGCCTGGACAGCTTGCACATAGCTGCACTTTGTGTTTTCCAGAACTCTCTTACAGTGATTGCAGGCAGTTCTGAAAGCAGTAAGGGCCAGACTACACTGCTCCTTGTGATAAGTATTGAAGTAGTGGTTCTGATGATCTATGGCTGTAGTGCATTCAGTGGTGAACTAAGGCTGACTGGTTTTTGCAGGAAGTTTTGTGAGGTATAAAACTCTCTATTTCAGAAAGAATCCATTCAGAGATGAAGGCAGAAATATTTCAAATATTTTTGCTTGTGAACTTGCCATGACATTACTTTTCAATAGAGACAACAGTTTTTGACTTGTAGAAGTCAAAATGTTTTTTTTCAATGTCAATCAAGAGTCACTGAAATAAAAGACTACAGTTTCCTTTTAATTTTAAAATTTAAGAACAACTTGAGTCTACAAATATTGTCGATCAAATGGTCTGTGTACTGGAAACGAGAAGGTTCACTTGGTCATCAGGAAAGAATGTGATCTGTTTCAATTGATTGATTGGTTCATTTTTTTATGGCTTATCAACCCTTTGTAGAAAATATTTTTAGATTGTAAGAATTTTTTGAGATAATGGTTTAGTGATACAAGTCTACTCATTAACCCACAGCTGTGGGGAGAAGAGGTGGATTAATGCCATTCTCAAGGGTATTTGCACATGTAAATATAACAAAGCCAACAGGAATTGGAACTCAGCTCTCCGATTAACAATTCCGAGCCATTATCCATTATGCCACCTGGATATCCAAGCTTATCACACCTGGTATTCCCAAGTGGTCACCCATCAGGCTTGACATGGCTTAACTTCAATGATCATACAGGAACTGGTGTTACAACGTGATATGGCCATAAGCCAATCTGCTTCAAAGCCTGCCACTTGACAGATTTTTCCTTTAGGATTAATTTCTCCACAAAATTTTTATCATTTCTTTTGAGCTAGATCCAACAGCTTGCCTTCTCATTTGCTGCTGCTTGGATGTCTTTTAAAGTAGCACTTCATTTTAATTGTGTTTTCATTTAATTTTTCTAAAATACAGATTTTGAAGCTAAATTATTTTTTTTTTTTTTTAAATATATAGTGCTTTTAGTTCATTCAGTTATGAAAATGTTCAAATTCCAAATTATTTTTTATTTTTTTTGAAAACGTCAAAGACTGTTAAACTCAAAACGGAAGATGATGTTACAAAAATTCTGTAGCTGGATATATTGCAATATAAATCTTTGTGGATATCTGTTTGTCAGTATTTAGGAATTTTATTTTCTCTCTTCAGCAAATTTGCAAAGAAAACCTCTAAAGTTTGTGTTGTTGCTATAATTGGCAAAGGAAGGTACAGTGCTTTCACATCCAAAGCTACTTTGCTTAATCCAACTATTGGCAAAAATGTTTTCAAGGTAAGTTCCACTTGATATCTTCTATTTTTCCATTATGTTTGAAGTTATCTAGTTGTTCTTAGATTCATAAATTTTACTTTATCTCAAATTGGTGAAAATGTTTACACAAAAAGCATTTGTTATAAATTCTCAGTGCAATGTGAAAAATCTATTTTTCTCTGTAATATATAAAACTAGTATTTATCTCTAGTCATTTACTTAATGAATCAGATTGACAACTGCATATTTTGCAGAGGCGTAGCATTTACCACCCATAAAGGGGACCCCCCCATACCTTCAAGGTAAATGCTTTCAGATTCAAGTTTGATCAATGTTTATCTATAAATTCAAGTATAATTCCTTGTTTTCTTTTTTTACTTAAGGGCTTCTTAGTCTGCGTAAGGAATTTTTAGCATTTTTTTATATATAGTATTTATTTATAATTTAACATTTAACACTCAGCATCATTTATAAGTATTACTTCCTGTATATAGAATCTCCTCAAAATATAGTGTTTTATAGATTAGTTCTATATATTTGAAATTGCAGTAGTCTGGCTCTCAATTCTGGCCAAGATTGTTTTAGGTGTTGCCATTGAAGGATATGACTACGCAACCAAGAAATTCTAATTCAGCTTGCATTAGCAAGACTAACATTTTGTTTGGTGAAAATAGTCGCCTACAGAGTGCTAAAGGTTAATAAATATTATAGTTTGTAGGTTAGATTTATGAGTGATATATAGAAATAAAATGATTTTGTTATGGCTGATAATATTTCATATCAAATTCCTTAGTATTAAACATGTTTCTTTTTTATTTTGACAGGGGTTGGAAGACGTTTCTACAGAAGTAAGTGTTATTTTATCCTCTAAAGACGCTGTTTTGTTGCTATTCTGTGGTACACTGTGTTTAAGCATTGAAAACATAAGCTACTATATTTGACAACATAAAAGAGGCATACCCATCTTAGTGGGACTTATTAAAGGAAAAAGTTCTTTTCATTTATCAGGTCTTGAAATAATGTCACCCTGGGGATGGAAGAATGCTAGTTTTTGAGGATATAGATTTTTAATTAAGATTCTTTCTTTCTTTTTTTTATCTAGTTCACCCCAAGCAAGGCAGTAAAGCCACTAAGACATAAGGGTTTATTGGGTGTGAAAGAATTAGGAAACAGAAATGTTACTAAGGAGCGAGAATAAAATAAGAGTAATCAGGAGAACAGTCTATAGCAATTGACATTGCATTCCAACTATTAATAATCCAAAAACCTTTTCAAATACTTCATCAAAAAAATTAGCAGTTTTTTTTTGCTTCTTTTGTATTCATGTTGATCTTTCTCCTTTTTGTTTTTCTATTGTATTATCTTTTATTCTTTTATTCTTTTTCTTTAGAGTTCTGATGTGTTGTCTTTTAATTTTTCTTAACTCTCATATTTCTCTTCTTTTTCTTTTTTCCTTTTATTGCCGTCTTCTTCTCTTCTCTTTGCTTTTACATGTTTTCTTCTTCTTATTATTATTATTATTTTTGCTTTCCCTTTTATGGAAACCCTCTATATATTTCTTTTCCTTTTATGGTGTTTCTCCTTTGAATAATAAAGAAAGTGATGTTTCATAAGTAGCATTTTTAAATAGAATCATTTATAACCATCTTTGTTCCTCACCTGTCAAGATGCATTCACATCAAAACATAAATGCATCTTTTTATATATATTCTTTTTTTCTTACTATTTTATAGGATGAAATGGAATATTATTATGATGCCTGTAGGCAGGTTGTCTACGTTCACTACAGTTCCCTTTTGGATACACAGCGTTTAGCAAACCTTTGCTTGAAAATGGACAGTGATGTTGCTCAACAAGTAAGTAAAAAAAAAAATTTAAAAAATAAAAAAACTTTTATAATTATATCTAAAGTTTCCTGTTATCATCAAATAATGCTGGAGCATCCAAGAACCCTGAGATCTTATCTGACCCTGTTTGAGCGACAAATGGCACTGAATCTATTTCAGAAGTCAAGGTATTTTCTGAAGTCTGCAATAATTCCTATTACTAGATGTAGCTTTTATAAGAATGTTAGGAGTTTTACTCCACCTTATTGTTACTTTTTATCACAACCCTCAATTGCTGGCTTTACAAAAGAAATCTATTAAAAATGATTGACTTACAAATATTCATTGGATATGATTTAAAAGCATTACAAGTATTTTACCGCTTTTTTTACTCTGTTTTATTGTATCATATTATTGTTAAAATCAATATAATCAACATACACACAATCAGGTAAATTTACTTGTGAGGAAAGTCTCCCTACCCTCCAGCTTTGTAGCCTCTTTCCCCACAGATGCAACACAATGTCTCAAGCCAATGTCTAATTTCAAATGTTCAGATGAGCATCATTTTTTAGCTCCTCTAGTTCAGGCCTTCACATGTAGCATATGTCATACTATTTAAAGGGAGTCACATTACCCCCTCATTTCTTCCATAGTCCAAATATAAAGTAAAAGTTCTCTTTGAACAGCTTTTTACCAAGAACTGATATTTTATGGAATAGACTCTAGAGTGTGTGCTTTCCTGAAGTCTACAAATTTTAGCCTCTTCAAGTTAAGGGTTGTTATCTCTTTTCCTTATTCTTATAATACTCACTTCCTCTCACCACCTCTTTCTTTCATATCATACCTCTTCTATCATAACCTTTTGAACAATAACCCTCTACCTTGAGTAGCTCTCAAGCATTGTATTGGGTAAACTTTAGTATAAAATAATAAGAAATCATAAAGTTTGATTTTTGTTGGATCCTACAGATCCAGGGAGGAAAGTTTCTTTTTAGCCTGAAATTTGATTAATAAAGAAAACTGTTTTTTTGAATCAAATCATGTTAAACTAATTATAAACCAAATAAGTCAAGATTTATTAATCAAAACATTTCACTGACAAAAGTGTTATGTTGTTGTGCCATCAGGCTAATAACAGCATGAAACTTAATCTCATATTTAACGTTACATTTTATTCAACTGCTGAGTTTGTCAGTTACTCTCAGCTCCTGTGTGTGTGTGCGCGCAGGTACAGCCCCTCATTCAGAAAGTGGATTTACATTGTAATCTGCGATGTCTGAGAGTGAATGCTGTCTTACTGCTGGGGTGTGGGTATTTATGTATCTTGTGTTATGGTTCTTTCTCGCATCATCATTCAACATGCAACTGTGCTGATAACTTGGATCTCCAACAGGCATCCTGGGATCATCTGTTGGATCAATCCTGCACCTGTCTTCTCTACTATCCAAGAAATTCAGCAATGAAAAACTATACAGAACTACTAAGTTTTTCCTAAAAACTCCCACAATATAGGCTTTTTCTGTGTTTGCTGCCCAAGTGATAATTTGGTTCAGTGAGTCTACATGAGTTTTCCAATTAAACCCTGCTACTAGAAGTTGGAAATGAAGAAGAAAACCTTTTATCCTACAGCAGAACCAAATGAAAACCACCTGAGATCATGAATAGCTGGCCACCTGTATTCAAGGATGCAGGGTGGCTAGCCAATCCCTATTGTAGAGGCTTGCTCAGGCGCATTTGTGTTTATTCAACACCCACGGAACCCTCCTGTGGTTTATACTGCAACTATGCTGAGCAGACCTTAGTTACAGTTTCTGGGAAAGAGTGCGTTATCTAATGTGATCAACAATTTGAACAAGACAAGCACACTCAAGCCGTCAGTCATGATGACTTGTGACTTCGTCCTAACACAGCTGTCAATGGCACCCAAGGGTTCCGTTTACCTAATTTCACTCATAAGGCTTAGGTCAACTCATGGTATGGTTTTCAGGCACTTTCTAAATGTGCTGCATGCTGGAGTTGATCCTTTTCCTGACAAATCAACTATAGTGAGATTCAAACCCAGGTCTCATGGTCAGAACGTGAATGTTCTAACCACTTAGCCACATGCCCAACCCACCTGAGACATTCATTCTAGAAAAAACCCAAAATCATTTGTACTGCCTTGCTCCCAATAACAGTTACACTAGAGTTGGTCGGTTTGGCAATAAATGTTTTGGTATTGGTTTCCAGTTTTGTTTTCCTTGATACCACAGTTTTCAGTTCGGTTTTTAATTTAGTACTTTTGCTTTCTAAGGAAGCCATTTATTTTCTTGTGTAATGATAGCAATTCCAGTCGATATCTTATTTCATTTGACTTTGATAATACTTAATCTGTTCAACTCGCAATATCTCGTGTATTCCTGGTACAGTCTTAAAATTATTCATATGGCTGGAAAGAAAATAATTTATATGTGCTTTTATTCATTGAATTATTTTTTTACAGTGAGTTGAAACAGTATTGCTTTGACCAGCCAGAAATGCAAAATGATTTTTATTTTTTTCGAGACTAAATTTTACACCTTACTTTGTTTCACAAAATCAAAGTGACCAATCTTTATCAATATTCTTGAAATTGTACACTCAGTTAGGAGACAATCAGGAAGGTGTTCATTTCTTCTCTGACCCAAGGAAGTGATTTCCTTCAAAAATTATAAAGTAAGCAAAAAAAAAAAAAAATACAGCAATTCTTTTCTGGTACACCAGTCAACTATTATTGGGGTTTTGCAAATAAATTTCTTCTAAACAAGGAAAATCAATGTTATTTTTCCCCAGTGAATGCACCTAAAATTAAATATTAAAAATAATTAAAAGCTTTTAATTTCATTTTTAAAATGTGTAGATTTCCAAATCTGCAAGTATCACCTGTTCTTTTTTAGATACACATTTTAAAACTGAAATTAAAAACTATTTTAATCATTTTTATAATGTTACTTAAGTGTATTATTCGCTGGATAAAACCATAAAGATATTTGTAAAAATAAAATGAATTAATTTTCCTTGTGTAGAAGAATTTTATAAGCAGAACAGTAACAAACACTTACCGACCACTAGTGGCTAAAAATGAATAATTTTTACTTTTGGTTAAAAAAAAATGACTTGCAGTTTTGAAAATATACACATTTTAAAACTGAGATTAAAACTTTATTTTTTTAATATCTAATTTTACATGTATTTGCTAGATAGAAACAATTTTATTTGTAGAAAAGAGACTCAAATTTCTGGAAATATACACATCTTAAAAGTGAAATTAAGAACTATTTTAATTATTCTTAATATCTAATTTAGGTGCATACCCTAGATAAAAACAAATTTATGTATAAAAGAAATCTTCATTCATTCTTGATTACAACTTTATTTCATGATTGCTTACTAGAAAACCCTTACAAACAAATCTGACTTCATAAAATTTAACATTAAGACGAAATTGGCAACTATTTTTTTTTATTTTTTTTTTACTCACTATTCTTAATTTTACCCACAAAAAATTTTTTTTTTTTTTTGAAAACTGAAACAAATAGATTTCACTTTCAGACATCATGTCATATTTCCTTTTTTTTTTTCTTTATTTCTTTTGTAAACAAATAGATTTGATTTCACATTTATTTCCTAAAACTAGTCAATTGTTTTTAACATATTTTTGTTCAATCTTTTTCTCTTTCAATGGTATAAATGTTGATAAAATTTAATTTTATTAACATCTGAAAGTCTTTTTCAATAGTGTTTCTTTGGATATGGCCACTCAGTAGTGATATAAAAAATGAAACCGAAATCGTTCAGTTTCATAAAAATGTTGATGTGGTTTCATAGTGTGAAGATGAAACAGAAAAGTCAGTTTTTCAGTTAAACCGCACATTTCTGTTACACATGAGATCATGATAGACTATTTCAAGCAGCCAACATCTGAATAAATATCAAGATGCAGACAAAGGAGTTAAAAACTACCACACAGACACCACATCATTTCTTGATAATGACTGGAAAGTTGAAATTACTTGAAGAATAAAAAAAAAAAAAAAAAGATGAACTTTGGATAGTTTATCTATAACTTTAAACATAATAGTCAACATCTTATCCAGAAGTTGGAAAAGTATAATAAAAAAAAATTAAAGAGACAAACCTTGTCAATTCTATATTTAATCAAACATATTTGAAGATTATATATATATATATATAATTGTGGTTGATATTCTGTTACACATACTGAATGTGGAAAAACTTCCGTGTCTTGTCTAAGGGAGTCTAGTCTCCACTCTTTACCTATTTAAATCCAAACTACTACTACCTAAGATAAACGTTTTAGGATTTCTGTTGATCTGAAATTGAGACATATGAGCCAACATTATGAACTCGTGGTGCAGTATCTGACTTGATTTTTGTTTTTGTTTTTCAGGACTTTCACACAATTTGGGAGTTGGAAGAATTTCATCATGCCAAAACATGGCTTCTTCTATTTTGTATTTCTCATGTCATTGTGGTAAGTTTTTGATCTCTTTTCTCATAAAATATTGGCTTTCGGATTAGCTGAGAGATCTGACATTACTTGGGATAATTGCTAGCATTGTGATCCGACATTACTAGGGATAATTGGTAGTTTGCAAAAAAAGGATTTGGCATTTCATGGCAGACTTTTTTTTTTTTTTTTCCGATCAGTTCTTCCAAAGTATGGCTGGTTCTAAACCAGTCTTTACTAGTTTAATGAACTTTGTATGTAATCTAGTGAATTGAACGATTTGGGACTTCATCTGTCAGAATTGATGGCAGAATTCACTACTTTTTTTAGACATATATATATATATATATATATATATATATATATATATATACACTAGCTTAAAAGTTGCCCTATCAAGCAGATTTAAGCTAGTTCTTGCAGAGGGCACTTGACTGGGCCTTCATTACAATAGGTAAGGAAGTGTAGATGTGATAGGCAACAATAACAATAAACTACAGAAAAACTCAAAATTGATTGCTGCATTTAAGTATTGCATTAGTATTTAAGCTTACCTTTTAAAAGTTCAATGATAATTCTTCTGCTGTCACTTAATTTAAAGACAGTTTGATGTATGTAGGTCCTTACTTTCCGTACAAACAATTTTTATTGCATGGGTGACTTTTGCTAGATTTCACAAATAATTTAAATTATTCCCAAATTTATTTCCAAGCTATAAAAATTATCATACAAAAAAATTAGTCACAAAAATCACATAAAAAAAATCTTTTCCTAATGAAAACTTAGGAATCCAAAATTTTAGGATTACATGTTTAGATCCAGCCTGGAATGCTTTTAATTTGGAGTTGGCCCGATTCCAAAATGGCATATGTTGGGCTACAGCCTCTAGGGGTAAAGTTGAAAACATGGACAATTTTATTTTGAAACAGTGTAATTTGAAAACAGTAATTTTTTTCATTTAAAATGAGTTATTGAAAATTAGAGTTGTGTCCCTTTAAGTTGAAAAAGTGACACAGTGACATGTTGAAATTTGTATTTATTATTTATGTATATAATATATATACGCACACAGGGTGCGATGGATAAATTGTCATCTAAATTATACAAAAATTATAACACTGAAATCTCATTTTAACGGATATATTTACCAAAATTTCACAAAAATATCTTGGGTAAATTTATTTAATGAAATTGCCATTGGCTTCAACCACAGGCTCCAGATAACTTCAGAATCTCCTGCAACTCTTCTGGACAGTCTCCTTGTTTAAGTTGGTGAATGCTACCATAATCCTTTCCTTCAGTTCATCTTAAGTGTTACAAAGAGTTTTGTTAGTCTCTTGCACAACTGTGCCCCACACAATAATAATCAAGTGCATTGCAGTCTGCAGAGCTAGGTAGCCAGGTGTTAGGTGTGATGTGGTTGCAGAAATTGTCTGACATCCATGACTGGGTTCTCCTGCTTGTGTGGCATAGTGCAGAGCCCTGTTACCAGACATAGGGTCTTCTGGTAGCCACCCTCTTGACTCAGGGTAGCAGTTCCTCCTCAAGACACTTGATGTAGGCCTCCATGTATAATCTGAGGCTCTCACCAACTAATTTTGGAGTTCTTTTCTTATCAGAATGATCAAAGTGAGTTTTCCAAGCTACGGTACCTTTGACTCATTAGACTCATCCAACTATTTCCAAATCTTCTGCGCTGTCCTAAGATTGACACCCAAACTCTCTGAAATGTTCATATTGAAGCTTCCACTGCAAACGTCAAACAGTACAGCAACAGCATGCTGTTTCCAAATTTTTGATAGAGTGAATTGTGTCATAGTACTCTTTTTTTCACAGAAAATGCCCAACTGACCCTACTATACTGAGCAATTGACAAAATCAAAAACAGTCAATATGCATGCGCAAAATTAAAAATATAAAATGGCAACAATTTACACATTGCATCTTGTGTCTGCATATATATATATATATATATACACACACACACACACACAATGAGGTGCTAAATAGTTCTAGGACTAAGAAGGCTTTCTGATAAAAAAAAAATTTTGATGTTTGGTCATTTAGTCAGTTGTTGGGAAATGGATTGGATCTAGATCTTTTCAACACCTCCCACATATTGGTAAGACATTAGCTAGATGAAGACACCATTACCACTAATGTCTTACTATTATATGGGTAGTATTTCTGTTGCACACTATATATAGTGTAAGCTATCAAAGTACTTTAAAGGACAACTGATCATCACTAGAATTTTTCATCTTAATATTACTTAATTCTTATAACAACTTGCACATTATCATAATTTAACCATAAATGCCAGTTAAAAACTTATCAACAGTGCTTCATTTAAAAAGTTTGAATAATTTTCAACTAATACTATAAGCGTATTTAAATAAATATGGTGATAGTATGTGTTGCAATCATACCAAAACGATTACTGTTGAATAATGAATGAATGAGGATTGAACTCAAGACCTCACATTAACAAAAGTATGTGTAATACTCTTATAATAAGTTGGCCCATCTAAAATGAGCACTTCCAGGTTAATTAAAAAAAGCTCCTGATATTCATTTAAGGAGAAAGATTTCAGTGTACTTGGTGGGTCTATGCTAATAAACCATAATTTACTATCCATTCGACTCAAAGTAATTTCAAACTTCCATGTTGAATTAACTAATGTTGCTAATTTTACCAGAGTTAGCCTATGAAAACCCTGTGAATACCACTTCAGGATGTCAGATGAAAGTTGTTAGAGTATCCAATATTTGCACAATGTTGCCTATATTTTTTAAATAGTCTACCTTCTAATAATGTTTCTTGTTTTTTCCAGCTTGTTCATCCTGGAAGTTCTTTTGACCCAAGTTACATTCGCATTTTCAGGATATTAGACACTGTCAGGTAAAGGTTTTTTTTCTCTTTTTTCTTGTCTTGATTTGATTTTATTTTCCAGATATTGTCCATGGAAATTCTTCAACTAGGTAACTTGACTAACGAATATTGCATGCTCCTTTGTTAGCACAGTGTTGACCTTTGCCAGATCATGTTTATTGATTCTCACACCTGTAATCAAAATATGGTGCTTTCTTTAGTCTTGACGGATCACAAATTGATAGACATCCAATTTATGTGACGTAAATGATTTTTAGACTTCTGTTTTCTGTTGACTAAAATAGAATATTTTTAATTTTTGCACACAAATTTAGCATTCAACAACTTTTTGTTTATTATAAGGATAGGGTTAACTAGTAAGAAAAGACACGGACACTGGGACTTATCACATAATTATTATGCTGCTATAGTACCATGGTGTAATAATTGTTTATCACATAATTATTATGCTGCTACGATACTATGGTGTAATAATTGTTTGTCACATAATTATTATGCTGCTACGATACTATGGTGTAATAATTGTTTACCACATAATTATTATGCTGCTGTAGTACTTTGGTGTAATAATTGTTTACCACATAATTATTATGCTGTTACAATACTATGGTGTAATAATTGTTTACCACATAATTATTATACTGTTACAATACTATGGTGTAATAATTGTTTATCATATAATTATTATTGTGGTCCTATGCTAATCATGGTACAAGTTGTGGTCTTATTTTCGTGATTTCCACATGCATTTCTGAGCAGTTCTTCTGTCAACTTCTTCTGTGCCCACACTATGCTTAAAGGATCCACAGAAGAGAGATAACATGAGTTGGCCAGAACTTCTCCTGATGTTCAAGATAATTCGAACAAGTTTCTCGAATAGTCAGCAACTTAAAGAGTCAAGCAACTCTCTGTTAACAAATATCAAAAATATTTAAATTAAAACGATTGTGAAAATACATAAATAATAGAAAATGTTAATTTCTGCCTGTTGGTTATTGAAAGAAGACAGTTTTTTTTACAAGAGTCATTAATGTTGCCAAGTGGGAGAGGAAAAAAGACACGGTGAGAAGATTTGTCAGCACTACAAGGATTATGCTAATCCGCATGTGATTATTGCAATTTGAGTAATTGGTTCAGAGCCTGGGATTTTCTTCAATGAGTCAGGTCTTTACAATATCTACTACTGGCTAGAGAAAATCTGGTGTCAGAGGTTAAGATATGTTTCTTGACTTTTTGTCTCTGGTCTATTTATTGTAGAACTCAATGCCTCTATAGACAAAATTTTGGGACCAAAAAGGCTTCTAATTACAGACCATTTTGTGTCATTCTCATTGGTCAACCAATCATAATTCAGGTTATAATTAACATGTTGTAATGGAATGTCCCACACTCCCTATCACCTATGCTGACTGACTATATCAGTAGATATGTATAGTAAGCATAGGATATACCTGGTGGACTTGCTTTGGGAATTAGTTGGAGATTCGTCTCCAGCTGAGCTGGTCGAACTCTCTGCCTTCGGGTGGAGAGGAACCCGGACGAGGCTATGCCAAAGGGCAGAGTCCTGTCTGGGGTGGTAGACAGCTACCCAACCCCATTTTTACAAGGTCTACAGGAAATTTTTGCCCGATCCTATGGGCATGGTTTAACCTGGCATTAAAAACAGCCTTGTGCCGCATCCTGTCTCGCTTCAGGAATTACTAGCTTGCTAACCGATTCCCTGTCTTTCAGTAGTGTATTCTCTTTTACAATAAACCTCTTTTTTTTTCATCTACGCCATGTTGCTGTTCCTTTCACTCGTGTACCACCTTTGTCTGTTTGTAACCTCTTTAAGGATACAACATTACAGAAGTGGGCGAAATCCTCTTCTAAATCCCTGAATTTTTGAACTCATTACTTTGCAGTGACCTTTCGATACGGAGACTGACTACAGAAGTTGTCTTGAATTTTGACAAACTTGAACTTATTAAACCCAGTGTCCTTTAAAATAACCAAATCCTAAGAAAATTCTTTGTTTTCAAGAAAATCCTAATCTTGATAGAATTTTGTTGGAATTAGATGAAAGCTTTAGTGCAGGAAAAGGTATATTATCATAAAAGTATATTTTAGATACATTTTACTTAAATATTACCTGCTTCCACTCAAGTATAGACTCTATGACTGTTTGCTTATAGCTTTATGCATAGATCTGACCAATGTTTGCTCATTGCATCAGGCATAACCCCAAATGTTTCTCTCAAGTATGGCAATAGATTTCGACATTAAATAACTCTACAAAAGCTTTTCTCATAAAATCTACCAATACAACCCAAGCTGTCCTGAATACAGAACAACTCTCAGCATTAAACTAATAAGTTTCCAGAGAACCCATGAATAGATCAACAAAATAAAGACTTCCTTCTGTCTCAAGTGTTAGCTAAAGCCAAATTAAATGTTACTTTTTTAGGCTTGTTTTTGTTTTTAAAAAGCAACTTAGGAAACCTGATTTTATGTAATCAATTTTTCATTAACAAACAAGTTAATTTCATTTTCATGTTTGTCAAAACATTGATTTGAACAGATTTTTTTCATCTTGTTCAGGCATTGATTACTTTCATGTATATTTTTCTAAGTTACATCTATCTAGTAATATATCTATCTAGTAATATATCTATGTAGTAATATATCTATGTGTAATATATAATGTAGTAATATATCTATGTAGTAATATATCTATGTAGTAATATATCTATGTAGTAATATATCTATGTAGTAATATATCTATGTAGTAATATATCTATGTAGTAATATATCTATGTAGTAATATATCTATGTAGTAATATATCTATGTAGTAATATATCTATGTAGTAATATATCTATGTAGTAATATATCTATGTAGTAATATATAGTAATATATATGTAGTAATATATCTATGTAGTAATATATCTATGTAGTAATATAATATAATATCTATGTAGTAATATATAGTAATGTAGTAATATATCTATGTAGTAATATATCTATGTAGTAATATATGTATATATGTAATATATATATGTAGTAATATATCTATGTAGTAATATATCTATGTAGTAATATATCTATGTAGTAATATATCTATGTAGTAATATATCTATGTAGTAATATATCTATGTAGTAATATATCTATGTAGTAATATATCTATGTAGTAATATATCTATGTAGTAATATATCTATGTAGTAATATATTCCTAAAGCAGAAAAGAATATTGAATTCAATTCAGATTTTGTTTACAGCTACTACTTACCTGTAGGTATGTGTTTTTCGTTTAGTTACTTACATATATTATTTATATGCAAAAGGAATCAGCAAACCATCCACTATTCTCCCTTGGAGGTCACCATGAGTCATAAATTCTGAAATGAAGGGGAGTGGTGACTACAGTGGCGCAAAGCACGCTAACTGAATAAATGAATGTCTGATATGTATTGATGTCGACTGCATAATGCTAGTATCAGATGGCTTGCTAAAAAAAATACAATTTTTTTTTTAACTTCCATTTCTGCACTTTTGTTTTTAACAAAAGACAACTCTTACTTTCATTTTTTTTTTTCATGTACATTTAATATCTCCCCCCACCTTATTTATTTATTTATATTTTATTTTATTTTTTTTAGGATTCAACTTCAAGGTTTGATGAGTGAACAACTACAGGGTTTCCCCATATCCAAAGATTGGTGTGTCAATGGACGACCATGTTCGCCACGAGTCTTATTTGTTTTTGAGACAACTTTGCTTGATGTCACTACTGATGAAAATGATCTTAAAGTCCGTCCTCAGGTGAGAGCTGTTTGTCACTTAGCAATTGCTTAATTTAACTTGAATAGTTTCAGACAGTTATAGTTCTTATAGATTTTTCTTATTTTAGAATTTTACCAAATTTTTTCTGCCATTTTTAATTTTATGATTTATTGTCACATGTATTTTGTAATCTGATTATAGTCAGTATTTTCTCTTTAAAATAATAATAATAATAATAATAATAATCATAAAAAAGAATCTGTTATAATTGTATGTATTTATAGGTCACTAGCCAAATTACCCACGTCTTGCTGCGTGTCACATATTTTTTTTGTAAGAAAACAATGATTGATTTTAAATCATTGTTATAATTTGTAGAGAAAAATGATGCATTTCAATATTACTCAATGATCTTGCCAATGTCACCTCCATCTTCTGGCACTTTCCTTCAGTATTTTGGATAGGAGTCATTTCCTTGTTCAAATTTAAATTTAATTTAAATCAAAGGGAAAAATGTGCTAAATGACTTGTTTTGCAGGACTAAGTTATGTAATAACAATTCACACTTCTGTGACCCAATCATTATGCATCTCTTGTATGTCTATGACATCATTGATTGTGAGAAGTTACATTGATAGTATTGACATCAGCATGAACATTTACCCTTTCCTTGGAAGCCATAACTATTGTTAACTATAGGATGCAATGGATAAATTGTTGACATTTTATATTTTTAATTTTGCACATTAGCATTGTTTTTATTTTGTTGACTGCACAGTATAGTAGGGTCAGTTAGGCACTGTCTGTGAGAAAAAGTGCACCATGATGCATTTCGCCCTGCTAAAAATTTGAAAATGGCATGATGTACTGCTTGTCATTTGTCCCAGAAGCAACAATACAAACATTTCTGTGTTTAGGTGTCAATCTGAGAACAATGCAGAGGATTCGGAAAGAGATGAGTCTAATGGTGATTACAAACGTATGGCTGCTTGGAAAACTCACTCTGATCATTCTGATATGAAAAGAACTCCCAAATTTGTTGGTGAAAGCTTCAGATTATACATGGAGGCCTACATCAAGTGTCTTGAGGAAGAACTGCTACCCTGAGTCAAGAGGGTGGCTACCAGAAGACCCTATGTCTGGTAACAGGGCTCTGCACTATGCCACACAAGCAGGAGAACCCAGTCATGGATGTCAGACAATTTCTGCAACCACATCACCCCTTACATCTGGCTACCTAGCTTCTGCAGACTGCAACCAATTTGATTATTATTGTGTTGGGGCACAGTTGAGTGGAGAGACCAACAAAAACTCTTTGTAACACCAAAAATAAACTGAAGGCAAGGATTATGGTAGCATTCACCAACTTAAACAAGGAGACTGTCCAAAAGAGTTGCAGGAGATTCTGAAGTCGTCTAGAGGCTGTGGTTGAAGCCAATGGCAATTTTATTGAATAAATTTACTCTTTAGTATTTCTAGATATTTTTGTGTAATCTTGGTAAATATATCTGTTAAATGAGATGTCAATGTTATTTTCATTTTTGCATAATTTAGAAGATAATTTATCTATCACACTCTGTATAAGCAAAATAAGTACAGATTTACACAAAAAACAGTAGAGTGACTCTAAAACCACATCAGTGTAAATAATGACTCCATGCCTTTTGTGGCTATCTGGTGAATTAGCTTTGCACTTTCATGAAATACAGATTCTTCCTTTTAATTTTTTTTCCTGCCAGATTAAAAGAGTTGCTGGAATGTCAGTTTCCTCCAAAAACAGTGGCACACCTATATTAATTTCAAAGTATTTTGTATTAGGTGCTGATAAATTCATTTTAAGAGTTGGCAATTTATCTTTTCATTGTTTGTCCATCTGCAAAATGAGAACTTGATTTGGTCACTTTGGCTTCTTCATAGACACTAGCAAGTTAGCAGCACAGACAATTAGTACTTGGTGCTCCACACTTCTGACCTTGTATTTGAATAGGCTAATGTTAGTAAATTTTGATAACAATCTAAGATAGGTATTTGGCCATAAAATATTATGGAACTACTAGTCTTGCATACTGTAGCATGCTTCTAGAGTAAGTTGGTTTCATTGTGGGTGCTTCCTACCTGTGGCCTACTGTCAGAGTAAGCTAAACTTAGAAAATATCAAATAACAACTTTTAGCTGTGCCAAAAAAAAATTTTTAACCTACTTTTTTAATATTAGTTCTCTAAAAATCATGGAATTATATCTTTAAAAAGAAAGGAAATTAAAAGGTTAAGAAATATGTGTCATAAACAAAAATTGAAATTCAAAACTTAAAATTAATGAATAAACATTAAAACTTTCACTGCTGTATTGTTATAGCATTATTGCCTGGCTGTACTGGCCCATATTGGAAGAAAAATTGGAAGTTGTCATTTACTTAATGCGATATCCATAACCATTAAAGGTATCTCCTTGCATTTACTGGAAATAAATAATTAAAGATGCTCAGAGTGATTTCTCATGAGCACCGCCATTATGGTTTCAATCAGAAACTCTATAGACTAAGATAAACGAAGGTTTAAATACCCCATAGAGGTTGATATGCCACTAAACAAAAAGAACCAACTAACGAAATCATGTGCCTTGCAAACTGTGCAAATTAAGTGAAACAACCACTTTAGTTTCCTTTCTTTCAATATACTGGAGTGACAGGGTGTAATTGATTTCTATTTTTTCTTTAGATTAGGTCATTTGCCATGGTATGCAGTAATATGAATCTATTTTCAGGGTGTATGCTGAAATTTGTTTGGCTTTAAAAAATATTGCGTCATCCATGATTGCATCAGATTTTTATCACACCCAGACATTATTGTCTCAACTGTCAATTAGTTGTCCTATGGCCATTGTCTATGATGGACATTACTTAAAGGAAGCATGTGAAAATTGTAACACTGCACAAACTTATTGGCAGGCCTTACCAGTGAGCAAATCAAAGTACTATAGTCTAGCTCTGGAAACTCTCCTGATTTAAATCCAATCAAGAATCTATGGTGAATCTGCAAGGAACAACTTTATGGAATGAACATACAAAGTACTAACATGTGCACTGGGTCATGAAAAATATGAAAAAAAGTAAATAATAACAGAATTATTCGTTTTGTTTCAATTAATTTTCACAAGGGTATGTGTATGCATTGAAATCAGGCAATGTCGATTTCATAAAAGTGTAGAAGTATACAGCAATGGAATTATTGAAATATGAATTTTTATTAAAAACTAGCAGTAGAGCCCGGCGTTGCCCGGGGATGTAACAGTAAGAGATAGATCAAGTATCGACCATCATAAAAATAAAATTGACAAAGATTATTGTTTAAGGTTGACGGACACGCATGTCTTAATTTTTTTTTTTTTTTTTTTACGAATTGGTCAAACCAAAAAAAAAACATTGTTTACAATCGTTATGAGTCTATCGATTGGTGAATACAATTTTATTATAAACAATTGTCTTGTAAATGGAATTTTAAAGCATTCTGAATGTAAATAAAGAAAAAAGTGTGCAAGACAATAAAGAAACACTACCTGCCAAAAAAAAAGTGGATGTTTGTTTTATCGGCTGAAAAATGTAAGAAATCCGATCCCATATATAAAGGAACACACACACACACACACACACAACCTGGGTTTTTAACCTAAGTCACTCCACGGAATCGCTACAACATAGATCATAGTCTGATGAAAAAGACGCTAAAGTTTATGAAAACAAAATTTTATCGTCAAAATGCTTATGTTTTTATGAAGAGGATAGACTAAATTTTTTTTTTAATTATTTTTAAAAATTTTTCCATCTTATTCTAAATTTTGATTTAAAAAACCTTGTTTCTCTTTGTCGCAACAAGGAGTAGTAAATAACATAGATAATTTTTAGTGTGTTTTTTTGTATTTACACACATTAATTTGGAAAATCTTGCAAAAATAAAAATAATTGTCAGATGTTAATGAAACTTTCAGAAACTATTCAAAGATGATCGAAATTATTATAAATATGTTTTTTTTTATTAAAGTCATGGCAGAAATATTTTTTTTATATTTATTAACACCCCCATAACTAATTTTATGAAAAACTCTAGAAATTCGAGACCATCGGTTTTAGTGATTACAATAGTTAAAAGCACAAGGCTTTGAAGAATGCAAATCATGTATTTTGTTTTGTTTTTTTTTGGCCAACGTACCTGAAAATCAGCTGTGAATTGTAACATACAAAACTCAATAAAACAAATATATTATTTAGTTTCAAATGCTTTTATTTGTTTTAATTTGTTTTTATGAATATGGACAATATTTTCTGAAAGCAAAAAGTTTTTTCAATGAAAATTGAATTTTTAATACAATTATTTCTTATTTCTTTAATTTTAAAAAGATTTTTAAAAAATGTTTAAATTGAATTTTAAAAAATATTTTAACATTAGTTAAATGCAGCATCAACCTTTCAAAATGTCCGTGTGAGATTGTCATTGTCTAGCGCTTTTTGAAAATTGTATAATTTGGACCAATCAGATTAGCCATGGTAATTAAGAAATGTAATTTTTGTGTTTATAGTCGGACAGTAATTATCAAGTATGGAAGACCAACCAGAATACAATTTAGTTGCATTATTTGAGTTCAGCATTGTTCTCCGCTGTTAAGCCCCTTTTACTTTTTTATGAAACACATATGGAGAAGTTAATTTGAATTTTCAATTTCAACTGAGAAGGGTACCTACAAGTAACAGTATCATCTTATGAAATTTAACTACTGCTAAACTTTAATTTATATGATCTTATTTTTATATTAATCTCAGTTATGACATTTTTCCATAAATGAAATATCAAAATTAATAATAAAATGAATGGAAATACAAATAACACAGTAAAATGTAATAAATGTACATAAAATTATAGTATTTTATGTACACTTCTGATAAAATTTCATAAGAAAGGTACCTAAATTAATTAGATACCTTTGTCTTATGAAATTTAATCTCACTATTAACAATCTTATTTTTTAATTTCTTTATATTTTCCATAAAGCATCGTAAACGTAAAAATGAAAGCTAAGTACAAAAAAAAAAAAAAAAAAAAAAAAAATTAGAGCGCTGAAAGTTTTCCTTAAAAGTAACGAGGTAAATAATTTGTTCCTTAAATAATTTCACTTCCTTCCATCCGTAGAAAGAATTACCCTCCCGTAAGTTATCTAAACGTCATGAATGTGCCTTTTCAATCAATCGTCAAGCGACGCTAAACGTTATGACCTGCTTTGTTTTATTTTCAAATTACATTTTTTCGGCGCAGAAGCTAAGTTAAGCTTGGTTCAAAATATTTTAAATAAACAGTATATCTGTTTTTATTAAAATCAGTTTTGAAAAATGATAATTGATTTTTAAAAGAATATCAAAGTAAGATTTTAATCTTTTTTTATCAAATAAAAAAAAAATGAAAATGATTGATTATCTGTTTTTTTTTTTGACCAAAAAAAAAACAATTTTTAACGAAAATTTCAGACGTGCTAGAACGATTAAAAAATGTAAAAAAAATACAAAAAAAATACTTTGATCTTTCCTCTTTAATAATAATATGAACATTAGACGATAAAATTTTTTTTTCGTCAAGTTCGGCGTCTTTTTCATCATGCTATGCACTTTTGTTTACATTTTCTTGGGTGAGTTGTCCCCCTTTCATTCTCACGATGTGTCTTAATCGTGTTTTCAAATTGATTTTCTTAAAAAACAACTGTGTTTTTCCCATTTTCGGCGCTGTTAGAACCACCACAAGGTAATTTTATGTAGTCCTGTGAAGTTTTGTTGAAATCGGCTAAAAAATGTTGGAAATTTGATCCGACATATAAACGTTACAGACACACACACACACACACACAACCTGCGTTTTATAATAAGTAAGATAAGATAGTAATTTAGAATAAGAAAATTCAGCTGTTCAGTTCAATTTAGTTATATGGAAATATTATCTTTTAAATAAAATTTTCAAAAAAATATAGAATTAATGAAAGACCATTAAAATATCAAGTTCTGTTAAAAAAAAACTTGTAATTTAAAATTAAGAAAATTTGGTCTTGGAACATATTGTTTTGAAATTTAGTTATAGATTTAAACTAATTTATTTTTAACAATAAGCAATGTCTCTCAAGAATGTAAACTTATCATTTACATCAGAAAAATGATAGTTTTCTATTATACCTGAATTAGTTTCTGTCTATGTTTGTGAGATGCTACATTGTAACTATTTAACAGTATTCAGGATGTTGTCCTCATCTTTATTGCCATATTAGACTAACTTAAAAATATTTTAATTAAAAAAAACTTGTCTGTTTGAAAAAAGTTAAAATAAAAATACTTACTGTATAAACAACTTGTATTTTATATCTTATTCACTTAAATCATTATGTGCCAGATGCATGCACCACACAAGCATGCACAGTCTTTTAGTATTATATAGATGCATTGTGTTTTTGGCACTGTATGCTCCAGTCTTCTTTAGGTCATATTTGTTGGAAGTTCAAAATCCCAACAAATATCACCTGAAGAAGGTCAGAGTAGCTGAAACATTATGAATGTGGTAAATAAGTTGAGGACAACACTCCAAACAATGTAAATAGTGGGAATATTGAATTAGTTTGTTTTTATATTCAAATTTGTTTCATATTATTTCAAATAGGAAGGTAGTTGGAAAAAAAATCTTGAGACACATTTTTCTGACCATCTAAATGTTTGTTTGTTTCTTGTTCAGCCGGTGTGTATACATGTTTAGATATGTGGATGTATACAAATATATAATATATATATTTTTACGATTCCAATGGAATAAATTATGAT